CCCGATTCCTACACCTTGTGGAAGAACCCCAAAAGTGGAAATAGCACAAGGTGCAGAGAAGCCATTATGACATAACTACAGATACAGATGTCTTAAGCCACCAATACTTGGCCCAGCTATCCGCTGTACGATGTGATTAGCGTGCGTTGTGTTTGGCAAAAGACAACTGTACAACCAGAAAATTTCCTCTTTTTCTACTTTTCCAAATGAAAAGCAGACTTCAGAGATCATGAACTTTTTTTTTACTATTCATCCCAGTTCCCCTTTTTTTTTTTTTTACTATTCCTCCATGGAAACCCATATTGCAACTTACCAAGCCTCCGGCAGTACTACCGAGGCAAAAATTTTCCCCGGGGCTGGAAATGTGTTGTGTGGCAAAGAAAAAACAAACCGGCAAACCGGCGTGGACCTTCCTTTGGCTGGCGCCGCCAGCCATTTTGCACCAGAGGCCAAGCGCTGTAAGTTAGACCGAAATGAAAAGTACTCAGTATTGGAGTATACTCAAACTAGGACCCCACTATCCCAAAATAGCACAATACGTGGCCAGGTCTAGTCCATCATTTACAAGGACTCGATCTGGCCACTCATTTTGCAATTTTAAGGGCTTGGTGTGAATTTTGCAATTTGAAGGGCTTAGTGTGAGTATACTCACAAGAACGGGTACTGAGAACTCAAACTGGTGAAATGATGTCATCAATTTTTCCATGTCGTTACACAACAATTTCTGACTCAGGTTTCTTACTGTGTAGCACTGTGCAGCGGACTTTTCTGCCTGAATTTGGATGCAATAACGCCTGGGTACAGATTCAGGAAATTATTTCCAGTTGTATCGAGTATGGCCTTACCAAGGTGGGTCCCCTTCTTAGGGGCCCCGTTCTTTTGGAGTCCCCTAATCATTATTCATCACATGAACCTACAGTTGCTCAATACAGCGAATATTCCTCTGCACCTCTTTAATATGATCCCTTTTCTTTTCCTTCTTTCCCCTTTTTCTCCTTCGTTTTCCTCTTTTCCTTTTTTTCCTCTTTTTTCCTTTCTTTTCCTTTTATTTCTATTTTCTTTTCTTTTCTTTCCTTCCTTTTGCACACCTCTTTAATATAATCCCCCCCCCCCCTTTTTCCCCCTTATACTGAAGCTTTATCGAAAGACGACCACATTGGTCGTCCCTTCGGCCCTCTTCTATCCAATGTGGCACTTGATTTTTCCCTTTTTTTCCCCATCTTTTTCCTTCTTTTTCCGTTTTCTCTTTCTCCCTGATTGGTGATTTATGGATCCCGTAGAAAATGAATCTTTGATGCCTTGGGTATTAGCTACAGCGTGTATTCATTCAGTCATCTTTCATTTCGGTCGAAGTCTTGGACCTTTGGTTTCTTTTTCTTTTTTTCCCTTCCCCTTTCCTGTTCAATAGGCTCGCTTTCCATCTTGACCAAATAGTAATGTGTTTATCTGCCACCTCTGCCAATCTCTTATGCTCGTCCGAGACCCTTCGGCTGCCTCATGTGCAGGGGCTACGTTCCACTACCGGGGGTTTAGTCTTCCTTTTTTTTTTTCAACACGGCCACAGAGTGGCCGTCTGATGTTCCAATCTGATGGCGGGAACTTGTCCATACTCAAAACCACCAAGTGTTGTGGGAGTGCGCCCCGGACTTCTGGTCAGGGCCAAGTCTAGTGGGACTTGGCCCCCAAACTTCGGATCGGATTGATCCACAGTGCGTGGGGAACTGATGGATGTTTCAATATTGCACATTCTCACATGTTTACATGACTGTTTGAAATCAGGCCATTATCACACCTATCATCCTTCCATGAATGCATCCCCTGGAATCACGGCCATATTCAGTCAAGCAGTCCTGGTGCAATTTTGCTCTTTCGGAACATTTCATGGAATTCTGCAGTTTCCAATAAAGCCACGAGCCCTATAAAAAACAAGGCGCCTATATTATACTACTTCCGCTCCATCGAAGTCAGGAATCGTACAGAGCTACCCTCCTTTGTGCATTCAAGAACATTCATTGTATGGAGCCCTCTAATATAAATCAGCACACAGATTTCAGTTTTTTCTCCCACACGTGACAGTTTCCCGCCATGCAGCTCGCCCCCCAAAATCTTAGCCTCGTTTGTGGGCTCTGGAAGGGAAGCTGACAAACAGCTTCGCTTCATCCGGAATCAATCTCACGTGTAGCTTTTCACTTTTCCTAGGGGAGGGCGGATTGGTGGTTTTCGGTGTTTGCGTCGCCTTTGTCATGTGTGTCCCGTTTGTCATGTGCGTCCCGTTCGTCATGTGTGTCGTGTGGGTCTTGTGTATTGTGTATACGCCCATGCGGGTGTGTGCAGGTGTGCGTGTAGGTGTGCATTTGTTTTCTATTCACTAAACGCAACTCCAGAAAAATAAAGGGTGACCACAATAGACTGTTGCACCGCGCTGTCACCAACTCATAAGAGGGGTTGGGCACCAACAGTTGTCCCGCAACGACTTTGCCTGATGCATACGGACTTCCCCTGCCACCTTGCCCGAAGTAGACCGCCGCACCCTTTGAGCTAAGCGGCGTGCATACATGGGTGTATGCACACAAGCAGGCTGCACGTGGCCACCACAGACCACGCAAAGAATTGGGGAACATGTCGATACCTCCAAGCAAACTGGCAAGCTAAGCAGCACGCATACAAGTTCCAGAGTGTCCCAGGTGGCACAACTTTGGAGTGTTATGGACGTCCATTCCAGAATGTCCCAGGTGGCACCACTACGAATGTCCCAGGTGGCACCACTACAAATGTCCCAGGTGGCACCACTACGAATGTCCCAGGTGGCACCACTACAAATGTCCCAGGTGGCACCACTACGAATGTCCCACTACGAATGTCCAAGGTGGCACCACTACAGAGTGTTATGGAGTCGTGTTCCAGAATGTCCCAGCACCACTACAAATGTCCCACGTGGCACCACTACAGAGTGTTATAGAGTTGTGTTCCAGAATGTCCCAGGTGGCACCACTATTGCATTCCAGAATGTCCCAGGTGGTACCAGTACAGTGTTATGGAGTTATGTTCCAGAATGTCCCCAGTGTTATGGAGTCGTGTTCCAGAGTGTCCCAGGTGGCACCATTACAGAGTGTCATGGAGTTCCAGAATGTCCCAGGTGGCACCACTACAGAGGTGTTCACAGCTATACACCCAAGGATATCCGAGGAGGATGGAGGAGGAGCAGTGACAGTACTACAACACAGAGTCGTACCCTCACCTCCCTTAAACTGCTAGCGAAGCGCATCCAGTGTCACCACACTAGTCGTAGCCCGCCCAGGCCCAAGTGGAAAGACCTTCCTTTCACCGTAGGGATGGACCGGGGGCAGGGGAAAGATGCTAGTGCAAGAGACCCTCCCTCTCTTCCTTTCATTCATGTATTCAAAAGTAGTTCGGGCCCACACCCCCCAAGTGGATGCCAGTGGCCGGCCCAGGAACAAGCGGGTGCAAAGATCAGAGGCCCGGCCACACGTGTTCCAACTTTCCCGAATTGAACACTGATGTTTTTTTTTTTTTTTTTTTTTTTTTTTTTGTTCGTTTCTTAACCCACTCCACACTTTTCTTGCGTTGCCAAAGCCAAAGTCAATTATCCTTGTGTTTTTTTTTTCTGGTCGATTATCTTGATTCCATTTGAGGCCACATGTGACTGAAAATAAGTTGTGGTCAACAAAAAATAAGGTGGGCCAAATGATGAGCACGTTACGTGCAGTCAAGGTAACACTCTCCTATAACGGATGCGAAGATCGCAAAACACAGAATTTAGCGGTCTTCGCATCCGTTCTATGCACTCTATGCATTCTTTATGTCGAATATAGCAAGAGTGCATAGAGTATAGCAAAGAGTATAGCAATCGGTCTGTGCTATGTGTTACCACACTCTCCCCGCAGAGCACAGAGTACATTGAGTAACGTACAGCGAAAGGTTGGGCAGGCGTGCACACAAAACTTCCAGCTCTTCAGAGGCAAACAGCATACCTGCACCCGATTCCGGTCCATCCGCGTCACCTCCATCCTCATCGCCTTCTTCTGCTCCTGCTGCCGGTTTCTCGTCAACCACCCTTCCGTTCGGGGCCGTGGGAGAGGTAGCACTCTTCGACACAACCACCCCACCATTCGGGGAAGCAAGAGCAGGCGCATTCTTTGGCGCTTCCTCCTCTTCTTCATCCTCCTTCTCAGCAGCCCCTGCACCCGCCTTTGACTTCTTCTTCTTCCTCCTCCTCCGCTTCGATTCTGCAGCATCCTGTGCACAAATTAAATAGGCCACGTTATTGCTCTCTCTCTCTCTCTCACACACACACACACACACACACACTCTTCAACCTCCTGATGAATCGGTGACAGCCTGACGAAACAGTCTGGCACAGTCATGCTTTTTTTGAGTGTGTCGCGAATATGACAACACAGAGACACACACACACACACACACACACACACACACACACACACACACACACACACGTGCACACACCTTTTTTCTTTTCCATATGCACACCTTTTGGCACGCCAAAGATATAATTGGCTGGCATGCAGTGGAACATACCCCACCAAAAATATAATTGGCTGGGACATACGTAACATTGCCAGAAATGTCACCGACATGCAAGATTCTCCCTTTCTCCTGTGCAAAATTTGATCCAGTACCAACAGGCCTCGCCAAGTTGGGACCACACCCACAAACTGTTGAAATATGAATCAGACCCAAGTTCGAGTCCATATGCAACCAGATGAACAGAAAAAGTCAGAAAAACATGATTCTGAATTACCTGGGGCCAGGCAGTTAGATCAATGTTGATATCTCACGACCATCACTCTCACGACCATCACCCTTTTACAAAAGAGAGAAGGGAAAGGAAAGGGAAAAGGAAAAAAGGAAAGCAGAAAAAAAAAAAAAAAAAAAAGTTCGGTCCAGTAGCGCCAAGTGCCCTCGATGTTTCGGGTGGATGCGTGCAAACTTTACTTTTTTTCTCCCGGCGTTTTTTCTTTTTTCTTTTTTTGGGAGAGGGGGGGGAGGGGGGGACTCGGTTTTCTTTTCCTGGTGCAAGTGGCGGTGGTTTGATGAAGGGATAATGTAGATTTGCTTCTTGTTTCGCACCCGAGAAATGGTACATCCTCCCAATGATAGGTGATGATGAACAGGTCAGCTGTTCACATCAAGTTCGAGCGTAGGCATTACCTGGGGGTGAGCAGGTCAACTCTTCACCCCCAATATGCAGTCTGGGGGTGAGCAGGTCAACTCTTCACCCCCAATATGCAGTCTGGGGGTGAGCAGGTCAACTCTTCACCCCCAATAACTCTTCGAGCATAGGCATATTGGGCCGCAGTATGACCCGCTCCAGCTCCGGCCAGCGTCGTCCTGGCAACAGCCCGCAGTTGGCCACTGGCATGCTGGTTTGGGGGATCCGGGTGGGCCCCATTTCTAGAAAATTCGAAAAGAGAAAATTGGGGTCCACCAGGCCATTTTCCAGTGCCTGGTGGACCCCGGAAAATTGCTAGCGCCATGGACTGTTGGGCCAACCGGACCAGCCCTGAAGGGCCTGTACTTGCAATCTTGGGTGAGCTTCAGCGGGCGAAGGAGAACTGGATGTGTGTGTGTGTGTGCGTGTCTGAGAGAGAGAGAGAGAGAGTGTGCGGCAGTGTGTACATGCGAGTGTGTTCAAGATAAGTCGGATAATACAACTACAGCAGGGTGTGTCTCTTTTTTTTTTTTTTTTTTTTTTTTTTTTTTTTTTTTTTTTTTTTTTTGGGGTGGGGGGGGTGGTTATCCGGACCTGTTCATTTGTAACCGGATATACCCATCCGGATGCTTATACCCGGGTAAATCCGGACATCTATCCGGATAATCGGATTAATCCAGACACGGGTCTGGGGCAACCATGGAAAAACCTGTAAAAAAAAAAAAAAAACACCATCACTACACGCGCCAGGCAGAAAAAATGAAAGTTTGAGAGCTTTGCATACATCCCAAACTTTCAGGGGCTACAGTCTAGACTCTAGAGACCCATATGTAACGCCCAGTGACCCAGTCAGTATAGCTGAAACTTGTACAATTTGCAGTCTACATACAGAGATAACATCTGGGGCATATCTCCTAGGGTACAGATGGTAGCCAATACCCGAAACCAAATGCCCGGGACCACCACCCAAAAAGAAGACATCTCGAGGCCATCAACCATTCTAAGAAAAAACAAAACAAAACAAAAAAGACGTGCGTTGCGCACGCGTCAGTTCCTTTTTTTTTTTTTTTTTTTTTTTTGGGGGGGGGGGGGAGGAGGGGGGACCAGTTCCTTTTTCTTTTGGCGTGTAGCACAATTTCAAATCTGAAATCGGTAAAAAACTTTCCGGGCCCTTGTAACCCAGAATTACTTCGTTTCTCTTTATCTGTATGCATCTGGATTCGAACTTGGGTCTGATTCATATTTCAACAGTTCATGAGTGTACCAACTGAGCTGCCTTCTTCACCCAAATACAATGTAGAGTCATTATTCCTGTATCTAGACTGAAAGATACCCCAAATACAGCTATAATGACGGTACGTTGTATTCAGATGAAGAAGGTAGGCCCGTTGGTCATCAGAACTGGTTAGCTTTTGGCCGATGGACGCAAAGAAACTGGCACTTCGAAGAAGCTGTATTACAGCAAACTCGCACAGGGACTTCTTCTCCTCAGCTCTAGCCATGATTGCGGTCAAATACATCAGACAGGAGTCGAAATTGCGGCCATGTACATCCAGGAAAGTTCTAGTGTGAGTGCGCTCTTAGCGATGCTGGACAGTGAATATCTTTCCCCATTTTCTCTTTTCTGACATGACTTCCACTGTCGGAACGAACTTAGCTTTCTTTTCTCCCCAGCGTATTAGTTTCTTTTTTTTCTTTTTTAACCACCAGTAACTCGCCCTGCTTGAAATCGCCGACGCGCGTTAACGGCCGCGTTGGCCGGGGGCCGCTGCATCGAAATTGCCAGTCCTCTCTCTCTCTCTCTCTCTCTCTCTCTCTCTCTCTCTCTCTCTCTCTTGGCGTGCAGTTCGTTTTTCTTGTTTTCTTTTTACAATCCCGTTCGTTCTTTTTATTTTTCTTAATGTTTTTTTTTTTTTTTTTTTTAATAGAAATTTGGCTACCGGTAGCTCTAGGCTCGGCAAGGCTCGGCTTACCAGTAGCCGGAGGCTCGGACTTGATTGCGCATTGAGCAGAGACTGCGTTGGGGGAGGGAACCGGAGGGAAGGCACAGCGACTGGCCCGTCGAAGAAGATTGGTCCTGAATCCTGATGCTACTCTCTGCCCGCTGCCGGTATGGCGCACCTGCTGGTGGGTGCAGCTCCCGCATGTTCCCACCAGAAGTATGGGATATGTTTGGTGTGTATTTTTCCAACCATCCTGATTTACATCGTATATTAACAGATTATGGTTTTGAGGGTCATCCGTTACGAAAAGACAAAGTAATACAATGTAATACAATAGAATATATAAATATGTAATACAATGTAATACAATAGAATATATAAATATATATATATCGTCACAAATAGAACTGGCCGGTAAACCGTAGGCAGAGAGGGAGAAGAGGACAACAAACGAGGGGCTGTGACAAACTGTTTCGTCGGAGTTTCACCGACTCATCAGGAGGCTGAACCCTCAACAGTCTGCAGAATCCCCTCACTGATTACACTGTAAATGATAATCTACCTTAACCAAAATCAAAGTAGACTATCACTCACCCACACCAGATGGAAAACTCTACAGACTGTCGGTTCACACCCCATCACAAGCCAGCAAAACATCCATGAAACAAAGAAAGGTCTGTCACAGCCAAAAAATACACTCCAGACACGCCGCTGGCACTAGAGGCACAGCATGGCCGCCTAGTAACGGTATATGTATATGAGACCAAAGTCACCGGAATCTTATAAAAGCCTAAAGAAAAACAAGGAACCAGTATGAGAAAAAGGAAATTCAAATTTTCTTTTTAGATTTTTATTTTATTTCTAAAAAGATATGAGAAATAAGATAGTACAAGAAACTATTTACTAGATATAAAGAATAGAGATAAAAGATAGATATAGTACTTAATGACAGATATAGTACTTAATCGATAGAATATTACAATAATTCGAATATTCCAGTAATAATAGATATAAACTGAGAATTCACATTTATTCCATTTATCATTTATGCAATTTTTTCTATTCATAGAGTCAAAATACCCCTGGTTGAACATTGTTGTAGGGGAGGGAATACTATAATGATAATTAAAAAGGCAAATTCGGCCTGTCCAGATTTGACAGGTAATGGAATTGGTTGGGCTATCAATGGACCTTGCTTCCAGATTTAACATTGTTGTGGAGGCTCCCCTGAATACTATAATGATAATAAAAAAGGCCTGGAAGCAAGGGCCATTCAAGGGAGCCCGTCCTGTTCAGATTTGACAGGTAATTGAAGTGGTTGGGCTTAAAAGAATTAGCCTTATAATAACCCAAAAAAAGAAAACGCGGAATGTGCAAATTCGGCTAGAACATGGAAAGATACACCGTGCATGTCGTGCTAGTGGAGCAAGGCCCATGGATAGTTGTTCGCTTCATTTTGAAATAGACACAGTTAAGATAGTTTCTACCAGCTCGAGGAACAAATGTCCTTGGGCGAGTATACACCCTGAGCTAGGGCATTTGGGGCTTTTTTTTCCCTTCCATTGTTAGTTTATGCAGTGGCTGTGGCTATGGTTTATCTATATGGGGCTCGCCACACTGATCGCCAAACACATAGCCACAGCCACTGCAAAGGAAAAAAACAAAAAAAATGTATCTATGTGTTTGGCGATCAGTGCGGCGATCAGTATCTAGACCATTTTCGATGTATCTGGCCATTGCCGTTTAGTGACTGATGCAGCTAGCCCCTACGTTGGAAGAGAAACCGGGTGTCTCGTACCTTTTTCGTCTTCTTTTTGGCGTGTGTAACTATTTTCTTTGCTGCTTGGGTGTGTATCTTCTTCTTTCTTTTTCTTCTTTCTTTTTCTTCTTTCTTCTTCTTCTTTCTTCTTCTTCTTGGTGTGTAATATCTTGCTGCCTGCTCACCCCGAAGATGATAATCTCAACGCCACCAAGGGGCCTACCGTCTTCACCCTACCGTCTTCACCCGAATAGAACGCCCACTCGTTATCACTGCATCTGGAGTTGGGGCAAATGCAGCTATAATGAGCGGACATTCTATTCGGGTGAAGATGGTAGCTCAGTTGGTACACCCCTGAACTGTCTGGAAGACGAACCTGAGTTTGAATCCCAATGGAATATGATGAGTGAACATGCATCTGAATTTACCTGGGCCCAGCCAGTTCCTCAGCTGCTCCTTGGGGCTGTTTTGACCCGCCACGAGTCCCTCGGGACATCCGTTAAAATGGGCCCAGCCAGTTCCGCAGCTGTGCCTTGGGCCCAGCCAGTTCCGCAGCTGTGCCAGAGAAGACAGGCATGGGCCCTGCATCTGGCTCCACGGGCTGGCCATCCATTGGATGGCCAATGGGCCTACCGGTAGCTCAGTTGGAACGTCCCCTGAACTGTTGAAATACAGACCGGAGTTCGAATCCAGATGGAACCAGATAAGTATGAATAAATCTGAACCGGAGTTCGAATCCAGATGGACCCAGATAATTAAAGGATAAATCTGAACCGGAGTTCGAATCCAGATGGAACCAGATAAGAATGAATAAATCTGAATTTACCTGAGGCCAATCGGCTCAAAGATGGTATCTCAAGGTTGTCAATCTAAACAAAAAAAAAAAAAAAAAAAAAAAAAAAAAACAACAACAACACACACTCTCGCAGGCTTCCTCTGACTAGGAAGTTTTTTAGAACAGACTTGTCTCTACTGAACAGATGTTGAGTCTCACTGCTCTACTCTGCACTCTCCACTACTCTCGACATGCACAAAAGGCAAAAGTCGTGCACTAAGGGCCTCGCTCCACTACTCTCGACATGCACAAAAGGCAAAAGTCGTGGGTGGAAGTAACCGGTACAGGGTCAGAAAATGGTTATGGGACACTCAGCTCGGGAAGAGGGTCCAAATTAGTCAAGCTTTTACTGCAGCAGAAGGCAGGATTTCTGGCTGTATCTAGACTGAAAGATGCGTCTCATACACAGCTATAGTGACCGTACAGGGTCAGAAAATGGTTCTGGTGAAGAGAGTCCAAGGCAGGATTTGCTTTTCGCCCTGGCTTCTCTCCCCAGCTGGTCATGGAGAGCGCTTTAGCTCCCCTCCCCTCCCCTCCCCTCCCCTCCCCCCCCCTGCCCTCCCCTCCTAACTTCACCCTAGCAAGTATGCCCTCAGTTGGTACACCCCTCGACGGTTGAATAAATACAGACAACACAACCAACTGGCCCAGCTCAGGGCGTACTCACACTGACAGTATCCCGAATGCATCTGACCGCATTCACGGCCATACCTGGATGTATCAGGCCACAATTCCGTCCAGAAATACGTAAAAAGGTCCTAGTGTGAGTATGCCATGCCCTCAGAGTCGGTACACCCCTCAGTGTTGAAAAAATACAGACCGGAGTTCGAACTCCGGTGGAAGCAGATGAGTAAAATACTAAAATACTACAATTGTAGCTGTATTTAGACTGAAAGATACCCCAAATACAGCTATAATGACGGTACGTTGTATTCATGGGAAGAAGGTAGGATACGTCAGTTCGATGATGACGATATCTATCTCAAGGATAGGATTATAGCTTCATCACACTGCAATCACGGCCACATTCAGTGCTTCATCCCACTGCAATCACAGCCACATTCAGTCCTTCTAGAGGCCACATTCAGTTCTAATGACCTTTAGAAAAGAGAGAACAAAGGGGCTCGCTCCACTACTCTCCACATGCACAAACGACAAAATTTCAATATAACGGTGTATCTTTCCATGTTTTAGCGGAAGATTCACTCTCGTTTCTCACATTTCGAGCGTAGTGCAGCGAGGCCCAAAGACATGACAACACACAAGCGGAGGCGATGTCTGTCCCACACAGCTGGCCGCCAGGCTTGTCATAATCAATAGTACCTCCCTCTCCCACATAATACCTTCCTCCCTCTCCCACATGATACCTTCCTCCCACTCCCACATAATACCTCCCTCCCTCTCCCACATAATACCTCCCTCCCATCTGCTGCCACTGGGAGGGTGTTCTACGTCTTCCTTTCTTTCTCGTCTTTTTCGAACCAATGTGGTGGATGCATCTGGCCATGTTCTAGCAGGAAGTTCGTTCTCATTTTTACCTGTTGGACGATATACATGCATATATGCATATTATATACGGGAACGATATATCTTTGATATGAGAGGGCATCGCCACACCATTCTCAAAATGTGCAAAATGAGAATGGACTTCCTGCTAGAACATGGCCAGATGCACCCACCACATTTTCGTCTTTTTCACATTTCGAGAGGTCGTGTGACGAGGGCCCAGATTTTTGCGCTGGATGGAAGGACTGCGGGACCCACACTACCGCAGTCTGTATTGCAGTTGGGCATTAATCAGGAAAAACAGAAGAAGAAAAAAACCCGAAGTATGTCGACTGTAAAATCAATCAATTGAAGAAAAGAACCCGAAGTATGTCGACTGTTTTCTGGATTGTTTGGCTTTGAAGGCCGTGAAGGCAGGTTCGATAATAACTGCACAGTGGGGAGTAATCAGGACAGAGGCCTGATGGGGCCGGAACTGTTCCTAGTCTTTTGCTCTCCCGCTGGAGCTTAAGCTAAGCTGGCTGATGCTGCCAGTAATGATTACGGGTAGAATTGTGGGTCCCCGGCCCGATTTTACAAAGTTTAATAAAGGTTTCGTTGTTTCAAAAAAAAAAAAAAAAAAATCAATTACAAAAACAAACAATTGAATCAGTTATCTACCAGTTAAAAACAAACAAACAAAAAAAAAAATCCATGGAGTAATCAACTAACTCTCGCTTTCGCTAACATTCTTACAACTACGTCGCCCCGCCAGGGATCGATCCCGGTGCCTAATCGCCACACAGCAAGATGAGAATGAACTTCCTGCTACAACATGGCCAGACACACCCACCACATTTTTGTCTTTTTCACATTTCGAAAGGTGCCAGGGAATGATCGATCCCCGTGCCTGATCGCCAACAACTTCGCCGACAGTCGTCTCATCATCATACAAAGAGCCGTGCGCGAGAAGCGCCCGCCAGAGCCATCTCCAGTCGTCTTTTAATCATACAGTCGTCTTATAATCATAGTGTCTCATAATCATACAGTCGTCTCATGCGCATGAGAGCCATCTCCAGTCGTCTCATGATCATACAACAAAGAGCCGTGCGCGAGAAGCGCCCGCCAGAGCTCACATCGCCGGCGCAATCGGCGCATAACCGATCATCATCCCCGCACCTATCGCCAAGCCTCGCGCACGAGCCATCGCTAGTCACCTCATCATATTATTCCCGCTTAGAGGAAAAACGCAGGAAGGGGGAGGAGGGAGGGGGGAGGGCGGGGGGGGGGGAATGGGGAGCGCATGCACGGCCATCGCCCGCCAGACCCCACATCGCAGGCACTCAGTACATTACCAATCATGATACGCCACCCGCGACATCTCCGCCCGTGGTGAAATCACCAAAACTATCGCCACGTCACAGCACCTGCCATCGCACGGTCACAATGCCTCCATCGACAAGGAGCGATGCCCGCCATCGCCATGTCACACGCTCACTGCATACTGCCACGTCACACGGTCACGCCGTACTTCCAGGTCACACTGCCATGTCACACAGTCCCGCCAGAACGCCTACATCGACAAGGAACGATGCCCGCCATCGCCACGTTACACCAT